AAAAGAAAAAAAAAAGAAACAGAGAGAAGATATACACACAAGGGTGGCCACAGGGATTTGCAGCCAGCTGAGAGTTGACGAGAACCTATTTGCGGACATACATGGAAAATTGTAGACTCACCGTCAAGGCGTTTTTTCTCTGCGATCGAGACATACGTCCACCATGATACTTGGCATTATGAACCTGCAGACGATAGTCAGAGAGCACAAAGGGAAGCAATGGCATGGACAGATCAGCAAAAATAAAGATAAACGACGGACACGCGAACAAGTTCGCTGTCATGTTAACGACGAAAAGATCCATCGCCTCCAATTACCTTTTACCCCGTAAGGACAAACAGACACCTGCAAAATGACATCATAGGGAAGAGGCCTGTGATACAGTGCTTACTCATAGTACAGTTCAATCTGTCCTTGGGTCAAGGCCCCAGCCACATGCATTCGTGGTTCTGGGGACCGTAGATTACAAGGACCAATCGCCAGAAACACGAAAAGTGTTAGTGGGACCTTGTCCCTCGATTCCCGCTTGTGGGACCTTGTTCATCAATTCCCCATAAACTAGGTACGCACTTCATTAAACCACCTCTGCCCGTTAACGAGCCACAAATTTAGGAAACATGCGCGCCACTACAGGAGCGCCCAAATTCATCCGACTAGAAACATTTCTACTACCGGTAGTTTTCGCCATGGTCGATAGCTGGTGGTTTAAAGGCTTCCCTGCTTGCCGCCGACTACTTCATTCACCCATTTGAGGTGTACCCTGAGGTGGCAGGCTGCCCAATAATCCAAGTTTACTTTCAGAGAAACAAAGAAATAATAAGCAGTTTAAAAATCATCCAAAGAAATAATAAGCAGTTTAAAAATCATCCATGCATTCTGCACTTTTTTTTCCTTCCCATGAAACCCATCGCACTTCATGGTGACCAAAAGAAGATAGATAACCATGTCCTCTTTTTTTTGTTTGCCGCTTTTCCACCAAATTCTAAATACTTTTTTCTTGTGCGGTACTATTTCAATTACCTCAGCTGGGGAAAATATCACCTAAAAAAAAAAAAAAAAAAAAAAAAGGTCAGAGATAAAAGCTTTACCTTAGGCTTAAACGCCAACAGAAGAAGAACAAGAACAGAAACATACGAGGCTTTGAAAATTGAAATCCAAACACAAAAGTCGAACAGGAACAATACTACACATTCTGACGGGTCATTAACACCCTGTGAAATTTAAGCTTAGGCTTTCCAAAAGACCCACCTGCGTACCCACCCTAGGTAGGAAAGCCCACAACATTATGATACACATCTTCACCAGTGTTTCTACTAAATAGGGGGTGGGAGGCACAGCTACTGGAAAAAATACTCGGTCTTTGGACTAGCAGGCCCCTTCCACCGGCAGCCCCAACCTACTCCCTGACCACCACCGATTCTGGAACCGGGGCAACATGCATCCCCTTAATTGTGAGGGGTAGCTATGCTTGCAGGGGGTCCCCTTTTTAGACTTAGGAGTAGTGGTCGGTCGGTCAGTAGTGAAAGGTGAAATTGAGAGAAGATATAGCTTATAGTTTCTGAAGGAAGGGAAAAATACAAAAAGGCATTGTGTTCATCAACACCCGGTTATGAAACATGCCGATTGCCACTACTTTCCGCTCTTCCCCTGGCCTCCCTCCCCCTCCCTACACAAAATCATCAAGACCTGGACAATGGTTTCATTGATTTAATTTCAACAGTAATTTTTTTATCTAAAAAAAGATGAAAATTTGATGCATCCCCTTCCCACAATAATTAACAACGGAGCAGAGAAATTCCCGTTCCACTACGGTCTCTCCGACACACACTTCATTTGATCTGTTCGACCCACCTTCAAATCTGCCTCAGTGGAAAATACGACAAACTTCTTCTGAAGACATTCTGGGTCCTCACACAGATAATGATCGCGTCCGAAATGTTCCTGCGCAGAAAAACAAAAAGAAAAGAACCGGCCGGTGAGGAATGAACGATCCATCACATAGGGTAGGGCATCGGGTCGCACCTATGCCAGTACTGTGGCGGCCGTTTGGCAAAGCTTCCATCATCAAATTATGAGCTTACTGGTAAACGACGGGTGGAGTATTAAAATTTAATTTTACAACCTGTCAGTCCCGTTCGGGAGTACAAGCTCGTCGAAGTGATTTATCTCCACATCCCCATATTCTCTACTCTCTGTTCTTTCATCTTCATTCTGCTTTCCTTCTCCCTCTACCTGCGCTTGGTGTTCTCGCATGCGTGCTGGGCTGTCTTCTTGTCTGGTTGTCGCGTCCGATAATCGTGTAGTACATCGATGGAATGTAACTAAATCTTTCCACATTGTCCCCACTGCACCGAATTCGGGTTTGACGGATGTCATTCCGCAGCTCGAGATTAGACTTAACTCACTTCACTCACCAGCACCTCTGAGCCTCTTTTTGCCGACGCCGATTTGTGCGGACCCCAAATCAAAAACAACCCGCATGGCACAAGTACTTTTGCTCTTGGCTGCCGGCGCCATCCAGCGAGGTACGGCAGGCTGAGCCCCCCAAAAAAACGCTGTTCTATACAAAGGAGTTGGAAGCCGATGGCCTGGAGAGGTACTGGTGGGACCACCAGTACCTTTCCCATTTGTCGGTCGCAGGCAATTTCGGAAGGCCGAAACGAAAACCGGGCCGTCGATTTTCCCATTTGTCGGCCGCAGGCAATTTCGGACTGCCGAAACGAAAAACGGGCCGCCGATTCAATTTATCGACGGCGACCCTCCCCGTTTGGCCCCCGCGTCACCCGGCGCGTCTCAGCAAAATAGCTGTGAAAGGTACTGGTTGGTTTAAAACAATCAGTGGTAATAACAGACTGCATATGGCTTTAGAAAGTGGTAAGATGCATCCATCCGTTGCTATTCATAGTAACGGACTACTATGGGCCTCGCCACACAACTGTTGAAATGAAAAAAAGAACGAATGCATCTTCCACAGAGAGTGGTAAGATGCATCCATCCGTTGCTATTCATAGTAGCCGATGCACGACTTGCTCTTCTCTGCGTGAAGATGCATTCATTCCTTGTTTTGTTTCTACAGTAGCGTGGCGAGGCCCCATACATGGCTTTCAATTTTATCTTATCGACAGCTGGACAACGTCATCGGATGCAATTCTACTGCCGCAAACGAGTCGCCGCAAACGAGTCGCCGCTAAGCGAAAGCCAGCGGCCTGCACAATCAACGAACCCAAGAGCAATATCAACGACTCTTAAGAGGATGCAGTGAAGGGATATGATGCTCTTGATATATATCGTCAAATAGAACTGCCCGGTAAACCGTAGGCAGAGAGGAAGAAGAGGACAACAAACGAGGGGCTGTGACAAACTGTTTCGTCGGAGTTTCACCGACTCATCAGGAGGCTGAACTATATATATATATATACATCACCGCTCTGTTGAAAGTTGGGAAAACAAAACAAGAAGTACTCCGGTCTACGAGCATACCAGTCCCACCCACCTAAAAAGAACAAAATTATTGCAACCTTCCAAGTCCGGGTAATAAACCGGCCTCTGACAGGTTTGCTCCTACCTTCCTCACCAGAATACAACGTACGGTCATTACTGCAGTATTTAGACAGAAAGATACCCCAAATACAGCTATAAAAAATCACCGTACATTGTATTCGGATGAAGAAGGTAGTCTCCTACCAGTCTCTTCAATGTATGTAGCGCCACCTCCAATTTCTATTTCCTTTCTTCCTCTTTTCTTTGAAAAAATGGTGACGGCCTTGAGATATCATGATTGAACTGACCGGCGCAGGCGAATCAGAATTATTTTATTATATGGGCATCTGATCTTATCTGGATTCTGAAGTCAGTCGGTATTCCAACAGTTCACTGGCGTTCCAGCTGAGTTAGGCCCCGTTGGTATGTAGCACCACCTCCTAAGGTAAAGGAGAACGGGGTCAAGGCAAGACTTCCTCACATTGGACTGCAAGGGGCATTACCTCTAGATCGGAGTAATCCCTGTAATACTCGTAGACTCCCGGCCGTGCCCTTCATTGCACAAAACCAAAATGGCAGCAGACGTGGAAACAAACCACCATGACAAAAAACAGTCACAACATCACCATCCATCAGCATCCATACTCAACCAATCCTAAAGTTCAAAGGCCTGGCATCAGTACCACCCCAGCTACAGGACAACCACACAACACTCCAGGCATGTGAGTACCTCCCCCGGCCTGTAATCAACCTGGATACCTCTTCAGTATTGTAGGTGTCACATACACAAGGGCTTCCACGAAAGCAACATCAAACCAGAATTGGATGAATCTCAGCAATGCAGGTCATCCTTGCACAGGGGCCATGCTACATGCTAATCTTCTCTGCAATCAACCTGGATACCTCTCAGTAACGCAGGTGTCACATCTTTTTTTTTTTTTTTTATTAATAATTTGGACCATTTCTCGATTTATGCGTGTCCTCCTTGCGCAGGGGCCATGCTAATCTTCTCTGTATCATTCCAATTTTAACAGATGTCCCGAAGGACACGCAGGTGTCACATCTCAGGAATGCAGGTGTCACTTTTTTTTTTTTTTTTCGATTTATGCATGTCATCCTTGCGCAGGGGCCATGCTAATCTTCTCTGTATCGTTCCAATTTTTACGGATGTACCGAAAGACAGCAACGGTGTATTACTAAGTAGAGCTGGCTATAAAAAAAATACTTGCCACTGGCATATTCAGAAGTCTCAGAAAAGACACACTAGTCACACACCAAGCTTTGTGCAGAGGCAGTTCATGCCGACAATACCCTGGTCAGAGCGGCAAGCCTGCTACTATTCTATACAGGTCATTGCTATACTGTTGCCCATCACACTGGAACGATTCATAGACGACCAACTAAGACACTCTATAGCTACATTACTCGAGAGCCTCGCCGCTGCACAGTCGTTACCCTCCACAACCTCGGAAGGTACAAAGTACGACGTTTTTCTTCCGTTGCATTTCTGCGTGAATGATCCCCATACATTGGGCTAGGTAGGTTATCAGCAGGAAACCGGACAAAAGTTTTGTACGGCCGCTCGCCCTAGCCAGCAACCACCGAGCTGTTTGGGATCCTCAGATACGTTACGCGAGCAGAGAAGTCACAAGACAATGCAACATAACCCCAACAGCGCTTATGATTACACATTTGTCCGATCAAAGCTGCAAAACATAACTGTTACGCGAGCAGAGAAGTCACAAGACAATGCAACATAACCCCAACAGCGCTTATGATTACACATTTGTCCGATCAAAGCTGCAAAACATAACTGTTACGCGAGCAGAGAAGTCACAAGACAATGCAACATAACCCCAACAGCGCTTATGATTACACATTTGTCCGATCAAAGCTGCAAAACATAACTGACTGCCCCCCCCCCCCCCCCCCCCCCCTTCCTCCCCTCCCTGTTCCTCCTCAACCAAATCATCACAGACCATCCCCATCGAGCTGACAAGTTGGATAGCGACCAGGGCACGGCCATTCTCTCTCTCTCTCTCTCTCTCTCTCACACACACACACACACACACACACACACTTATTATACCCATGTACAATGGCAGAACACCTCTCTCTCTCTCTCTCTCTCTGCGTATCCAGCAAGACCACACACCTTGTCCCATGGCTGTGCTGACACTGCAAAGTCTCCCAGCTGAAAGGGAAGAAATAGAAGCTACCAATCCAGATTTGTGGCAAAGATGCCACACTGAAACAGATACACAGTTCAATCGAGCCATGCACAACGCGAGCCATGCACATAGAGAATATTACAGAAGTATGTCGTACATACCTTTGACATATATGACAGCTGTAGTGTTCCGTTGTCATATGAGAGTACTGCTCGTTCTCGCCATAGAAGCGTTTCTTGCAGAAAGCGCACAATGGATGTCCCTTGAAGCCGCCCCTCTGCTCTGCCGTTCCGTCAACCTCCGCATCCCCTTTTACACAATGCCTTTCGAGCTGGCTCCGTTTGTACAGCCTTTGCTCACACAAGAATACCTATGCAGCCAACCACAATTAACCATGGTTACCTCCTCCACTCCCCGACGCGGCATCCAATTCAAAGCCCGCAAATTCTGAGGTTTCTAAGTTCTAACAGAAACCTGAGACCCAATTTGTCAAATCCATTCACAAACCACCAGACCATAAAACTGCAAACCAGCAGCACTGACATTAGTTGAGACAAACCGGCCACCGGACGCACAACTGGCACAGCTAGCGAAACATGGCTGGCTGAACTGTGAACCAAGCAGGTGGCAGTCAGGTTGTTGGCGGAACAGCGGGTGGCGGTTCTAGTCAAGTGGCAGGTTCGCAGTTCAGCCAGCCACTCCCACTCTCTGCAGAAGACCCCAAGGTGCAGAGACTCTAGGCTGGAGCTTAAGGTGCAGAGACTCTAGGCTGGAGCTCGTAGGCTAGCTGGACCAAGCTCCGGCAGCAGGAAACAATGCAAGAAGGGCGAGAGAGAAAAGCAATAGTAGGGCCTATACTCGGAGTAGGGCCTTTTATGCCAAAATCGCTGAAAAATGTGATGGTTGGGCCAGTCACACGAGGCGCAGAGAGTAGCAAGAGTAGCAAACGGGGTATCAAATGTCAGCGGCCTCGCAGGCAAGCGAGGACGGGCAATTCGCTACCACCTCCGAAGGGGGTAGCAAACATTTATTTCAGGGGTTTGTTTGGAGTTGGAGCCATTGAACAGGGCTTGGCATGGTCTTCGAACAAACCTTTCGGCCTTCAAGACAAATGTCACAAAACATGAGCTTGTGCGACGAGAGAAGGTGTCGCTTCAGAGTCTCGATGTCTCGAAATCTGCTGCGTGGGTCCACAGGACTGCTACGACCTTTACCCGTAGACGGAACAGAGACAGAACTTCCAGCCTCCCCTTGTTCCTGCCCTGAGGATTGGGATCCCGTCTCCTTCCCAGAGCACATTACACACGTCAGCGTGCATAGCGCCCGAATGTGTGCAAAATGCTCTTTGTCGTCGAAGTACGCCTTGAGATCCTGGTCGTACCACAGACCAACCTTGCCACTATCCCCCGCATGCGGAGCTTCAAAATCTTGAAACGTCCTCGTATAATCGCCCAAAGCCTGCAACATTCACAATTCATCGAAAATACAAAAACAATATATACATCAATTCCACTCCAATCATCGCAGACCCAGATCCCATGGTGACAGAGCTCCCTGCAAGGGGTCGAAAGCACACATCAGCATTTGCAGTAATCTCTCTCTCTCTCTCTCTCTCTCTCTCTCTCTCTCTCTCACACACACACACACACACACACAACACACACACACACACACGCACACACACACACACACACACAATAAAAATAAAAAAAATGAAAACACAAGAATATGCAAATAAATTCTTACAATCCTTCTCTGCTCTCCTCCCAACACTCCATCAGAATCTCATCTTTGTCTTTCTCGGTCCGTTCTGGGAAGTTGTGGCCAACAACATTTATATCTCTGTGTATTATAACGAGTAATCAAGCCGTGACTAACATAAGACTGCCATCTTCTGAGAACATTGAGAATCGTGCCATTGCCTCAGTAGATAGGAGGAAGCAAACCTTCTGAGAACAAAAGACTGTCATCTTCTGAGAACATTTAAGCCGTGCCTAACATAAGACTGTCATCTTCTGAGAACATGTCCAAGGATCTTTCCAGATACCATGTCCGAGGAAGCAAACGAAAAGACAAGAGGAAAATGTCTTTCTCGAAAATGTTCAAGGATATTTCCGGATACCATAACACTGTCATCTTCTGAGAAGATTCATCGCCAGTTTTCTAAAGCATAGAACGCCAACATTTGCATGTACACTCCTCTCGTCTACATGCATGCCCAAGATCTCCCTCCGAGTAAATACGAAAAGATAAGGAGGAAAAACTGCTGAGCCCTGACACTCACAAACGAATATCGACTAATGACAGGATCTAATGTGGTCAAGACTGCGAGGGGTTGGGTGTTGGGGGGCAGAAGGTCAACAGCCATTGTTCTGCAAGGCTGGCGTGAATCTGGTCCGCAGACAGTTCGATTCTATCCATAAAGAACGCACAGGCGTTGTGACTGAAGTAAATGCAGGCTTGGATTCGAGTCTAGCATATCAAGGGTATACTCGCATTAGCACTCCCCTAAATGTATCTGACCGCAATCACGGTCACACCTGGATGCATCTCACCGCAATCACGTCCAGAGTGTAATGCAGACTTGGATTCGAGTCTAGCATATCAAGGGTATACTCACTCGCACTAGCACTCCCCTAAATGTATCTGACCGCAATCACGTCCAGAGTGTGCTTGGATGGATAAATGCTCATCAAGCACATGGAATTTTAAGGTCAACCGTCGAGATCCAAATCCTGTGGGATGCGAACGGTTGAGGATTGATCTTACAGCCGACATTTTAGATTATTATTTTCTTTTGGGAAAATAAACGAAGCTATCTATGTTTCTTCTGAAAAAACAAAGCTAGATTCTTCTCTCGATCTGTCTATGTACTTCATCTATGTCATCAATCTCATCCTCTCACTAATCTATATATGCATATATAGATTAGTGAGAGGATGAGATTGATGACATAGATGAAGTACATAGACCTTCTATGTCACCAACCAACCTTCTCCTTCCTATTTCTTCCGCTCACCTGTCTGAGCAAATCTCCATTGGAAAGCTTCACTACCGTCTTCCACTAAACAAAATGCACCCTCAGCACGACCGTACCGGACCAGAAAGACACCTTGTATACATTCAGCACGAGGATGAATTGTGTCCGTAGGGAAGAAGACGGTAGCCCACTCTCCAAAAACATCCGCAGGCATGCCCTATCACTACCGTCTTCACCCGAGTAGAACGCCCGGTCATTATCGCTAGTTTTGTAACTTTGTTATCACTAGTTTTTTTACTTTGTTTTGAGCCATTGCGGTTAATGCTCCTAATATCATGGAAGCAATACTGCCAAAAAAGAAGATTGTTTGCCATGTCGAATCATAAAAACTAGTGGTGAGCGAACGCGTATTAGGCTCTAAATACCGTCCGATCTGGACTGAAAGTTGGGCCAAATGCAGCTCTCACTACCGTCTTCACCCAAGTAGAACGCCCGGTCATTGTCGCTGCATCTGGACTGAAAGTTTGGCCAAATGCAGCTACTGCGGATGCCCTATCACTACCGTCTTCACCTGAGTAGAACGCCCGGTCGCTATCGCTGCATCCGGACTGAAAGTTGAGCCAAATGCAGCTATAATGACCGGGCATTCTATTCAGGTGAAGACGGTAGCGTCTTCACCCGATCATAACGCACCCTGATTCTGAATGAATGTATACAAGCCATCTTTCCGGTTGGATGCAGTCATAATGAAGGTGTGTTTGTGTTCCGGGGAAGATGGTAGGCATACCACACACATCTACCTCACACCCTTGACCTGAGGCAGCTTGAGATCGCGTGCCAGAGTCAGAGAGAGAGCCACCCTGCAAATCGAGATCTGCGACCTGCGCGCACTCCTCAGTCAAAAATTTCTCTGGAAAGGAAAAAGTCAATTCCCCTCCCCGCTCCCTCTCCTCTTCTCTATCCCCCACCTACATTTCATCCTCCCCCTTCTCTTCCCCTTACGCTTCCAAAGGGAAAATGCGTACAGCAGCCTGTTCATCCGGAACCGTCCCGTCTTCCTCAACAAATCCGTCTACCGTCTTCCCCCAAACACAACGCACCCTCATTTTGGATGTATCTGGCCGGAAATATAGCTTGTATACATTCATTTTTAGGGTGTGTTATGTTCGGGGAAAGACGGTAGGCTCCGCAAGGCCAAGTGCCTCGCCCCACTGCAAAGCTTTCTGAAATATCTCGAGCTGTAACAGTCCCCATGCATGCAGTCAAGATGTTAAATCAGTTCGTATGTATCTGGTCCAAACTACAATGCAGATAATGTAAGAAGCAGTGAACCAAGGTCCCAAGATTGGCATACCCAGACCCCGACACCTCAGCGACCAGATCCCCATCATCCGTCTGTAAAGGTAAGCTCCCCCTCCAATCCCTTCCTGTGGATAGAGACAGCTCCCTTCCTCAATCAGTCCTGATGTGTCTGGTCCAAACTGCAAATCAGTCCTGATGTGTCTGGTCCAAACTGCAAATCAGTCCTGACGTGTCTGGTCCAAACTGCAGTCCAGGTTCAAGACGTTCGACGAGCCCTCGTGTATCTATCTAGTTCATCCGCGACCGCACATGTGTCTGGTTCAAACTGCAGATCAGTCCTTATGTGTCTAGTCCAAACTGCAGATCAGTCCTGATGTGTCTGGTCCAAACTGCAGATCCGTCCTGATGTGTCTGGTCCAAACTGCAGTCCAGATTCAAGACGTTCGACGAGTCCTCATGTATCTATCTAGTTCATCCGCGACCGCACATTCGTCTGTAAAGGTAAGCTCTCCCTTCATTCCCTTCCTGGGATCGAGACAGCTCCCTCCCTAGATCAGTCCTGATGTGTCTGGTCCAAGCTGCAGTCCAGATCCTCATGCATCTGGTCCATCCGCGACCGCATTACTGCCTTCAATCACCCCTGACAGAACGGATGAAGATAGAACGGCCATAGAGCGGCTATTGCTTTGTCATGTATCTGGTCCTATTGCTAGCTTTTTGTGTGATGTCTTCCCCATGCGTTCTGATGAAGTGTGGTGTTATAAACGACCATCAGTGCAACTGGGCCGATTCTTTCCCCCCCCCCCTTTTTCTCGTCCATGGCCCTCGAAACACACCCGTCGGAAGAAAAAGTCGTATCTGCATGTGCCCGCCGGGAGTGGCCAGATACATCCATAACTAGGAACAGTAACAACCATCAGTGCAACTGGGCCACATTCTTTCCCCCCCCCACTTTTCTCGTCCATGGCCCTCGCCACACACCCGTCGAAAGACAAAGTCGTACTGCATGTGCCCGCCGGGAGTGACCAGATGCATCCATAACTACGAACAGTAACGAATGCATCGTATTTTTTTTCGTTTTTCTACAGTGGGCCTCGTCACACCAATCCCGAATTTCGAACGTCTTGAATCTGGACTGCAGTTTGGACCAGACACATCAGGACTGATCTGCAATTTGGACCAGACAGCGCTATGAAACTCCAACCCACAAAAAAATAAAAACGAGTCTTGTGCGGTATCAGAATTCCCCTATTTTTTTCCTCGAGGACTTCCTACCGAAACGCGGATTTCTTATTCATTTTAGTTTACTCCTGTTCCATCATCTGGATTCGAACTCGGGTCTGTATTTCTTTCTTTAAAAAAAAAAAAAAAAGAAAGAAACAAAATTCCTTATTGCTCAATAAAATTCGGGCCGGGGACCCACAATTCTACCCGGAAGAGAACAATCATATCTGACAGCATCCGTCAGCTTAACTTTGTACTTCAGAGCCTGGAACTAGACTAGAAACAACTCCGGTCCCTGGGACCTTTGCCCTGTTGGCCTTGCTCTGAGCAAACGAAAAGGAAAATAAACAAACAATGCCCTCCCGGCCTTGAAACCCACACAAACCAAAAAAGGGAACTAGACCTTGCTTCATACAAAACCTTCCTATTCCACCTAACGCGGTGCATACGCTTGTCCTTTCTCTTCAATCTCCTGTAACTGTTCTAGAGAGCTTTGCTGATTTGTGCCGGCTTTATATCCAGCAACTACGACCATCTTGTCCTCGCCACTACTTCAGGGTGCTTCACTGGGATCAAGCTCCTGTAGCCCACTCTCTGAGTGTAATTGAGCAAGCATACATTCTCCCCTCGTTTTCCCATGGCCCTCCACTCCCACATTCTCGGGTCCAATTTCAGCTCTGACAGTGGCTTTCTGTTAGCCATTACCGCCAATGCCCTTGTACCTTCCTGGTCCCGCATGATTACTCTGGCTTGGGACAAGGGTCTATCTAGTCCCGGTTGGTGTTCCGACTCCGCCAACTCCAGCTGTATTTCCACAGTTCATGGGTGCGCCCATGGAGCTATAGGCTCTTGGGTAAATAAGCTCGGATTTGCTCCAGCCTACTACCGGTAGGTAGGCCAAAAAGAAGTCTTGTCCTTCGGGACATCTGTTAAAATTGGAACGATACAGAAG